TCGCACAATTTGAAAAAAACTTACCGATACGCATATTTTTTTTCCATGATCAGATTTATTGGATTAAAAATAAATATTGATCAATTTTTTTAAATTTTTAAATATGATCCAATATATTTCATATTTTTAAATCACTATAAATTGAGTTTTTTACGTTTTATTTTATAATTAAAAACTTTATATTATACAAAAAAATCAATCAATCACTAACTATTATATATAAGATAAATAATGACAAAAGTAAGAGAATAAATAAGAGCCTAAATATATATATATATATATATACATATTTTAACCAAGCCAAATAGATAATGACCACACTTATTATTATTATTATTATTTTCAAACAATATATAGATAGACACACACAAACAAAATGGTTTAGTGATAGCAGCTGAATAGAATAACATAGGTCTTACAGCTTCAACAAATCAATAACATGTTCTTTATCCTCCCTCTCCTCTCTCTCTATCTCTTGCTCCTCCATTTTCTCTCTTTATCTTCCCTCTTCTCTCTATCTCTCTTCCTCTATTTTCAGCTTTTTTTTGTGTTTTTTCGAAAGAAACTGTTTGGAACCGTTACGTAACGGTGTGTAACAGGCCGTTACGGCTGTTACGGTACCGTTACGACCGTAACATTATTAAAATTATCTGAATTATTAATTGAAATAAAATTTTAACATTATTAAAAACTATTGATTAACTTGACTATTTATTAAGAAAATGACCTATTTGTTATGAAATTAGAAACCTTAGGGGGGCATAATGTAATTTCTAGAATTATAAGGAATAATTTGTAATTTAAGTAAACCTCAGGGAAAATATTTGTAATTTACCCTATTATTTATGTTACAGGATATATATTGTTATTAAAATATACATTTGATTATATATGTAAGTGTATGTATGTCTATATATAAATATTTGAAAAAAAAAAAATTAAATTGAACAACTTTCAAAGAGGTAGACCCACGTAGGTGCTGCTCTCCCCATCCCTTCATTTCCCTTATTCCTTTTTTCTTCTTCTTTACTACTTGATATCGTTTCTTCTGCCTCGACTTCTTACTCGGCTCTCTCTCTATCCTACTCTCTAACCAAACCACAAAACTCTTGCATTTTGTCTAATTTACACAAATCCATTAATTTTTTTGCCATAGTTCTTAAGGCCATTTTGACAAGCATTTCAAGGGGAATGTTTTGATACGTGGAGATCGAAATTTGACAATATCGAAAATTGAGATTTTTGCCTATCTCCTCTTCTAGCTTTTGAGGTAGAAATTTTCTAAATATTATATATGTGTTTTAGCATTATTATGTGTTATATATGTGCTAGCAACCTCTTTACAAATGAAGCAATTCTCCACAGATTTTACACAGACTTCACAAGTCCAACCCCTTGTAAATTTTAGATGATTCACAATCACTCTCAAGATTTCAAGAACACAGTGTTTGCAACACTTTTACAAAATAAAATGGTACTTTTTCTTTCAAGCAAAGCTTATAATAAATATCTCTCAAAGATAGATATATAAAATGAACCTTTGATTTTTCTGTAAATCTCACAAAGGAAAGATGAGCTTAATGCTATAAAGCTCAGTGTATAATTTATGAGAATAGATGTGAGTGATTATAGATCAAAGAATATTTTTAGATTTTTTGTAATTTGTTTACATTAGAGGCTTTGGTATATATAATGAAAATTATAGTCGTTGTATTCATTTGAATTTATTGCCATTTATAGCCGTTGTAGTCATTTGAATTTATAGCCGTTATACTCCATCATTACTAATTTAAATATCTTCCTTGAATTTATTGCCATTTATAGCCGTTGTAGTCATTTGAATTTATAGCCGTTGTACTTTCATCATTACCAATTTGAATATCTTCCACTTAAACCTTTTGAACCTTTTGGCCTGCTGCTGTGCTAGGCTGTTTGAACATTTGTTTTGGGCTGTTTGAACTCCTGATTTAATCAAATATTAAATACATTCTAACAGCATTTAGGATAAAGGTTTAGGTGAGAAATAATGGGACAAAATAAATTTTAATTCTATTTTTTTCTTTCAAATAAATCATCAAAATAAATTTTGATTCAATTTTTCTCTTCCAAATAAATCATCAAAATAAATTTTGATTAAAATATAATTAAATAGTTCATCAAAATAAATTTTGAATTCTATTTTTTTCTTTCAAATAAATTAAAACATAATTAAATAAATCATCAAAATAAATAAGTTTAACACTCACCAAACGAACATGTTGGGCTATTCGCTAAAGATGGCACTCTTATTTCCTTACTAGCCACCACCCTTGTTGACCATTTTATTATGCATGCATTGTGGGATTATTTTTTTTTATTTTTTCAAACTTAAAGACATACCGATGTAATTGAGTCAAAATTGAGCAGACATTATAAATCTTTGAGCAATTTATCTTTGGGTAAATTACACTTTGCAGCTTTTATGTTTGGCTATTTTTTCATTTTGGCCCTTAAATTTCTTTTTTTCCTACTTTGGCCCTTTATGTTTTAAGTTTTTCCCAATTTGCTTCAAAAGTTAAATTATGTTGAAAATTAGATAGAAAATGTCCCAATAAATTCCACATGATATAAAAAATACATTATTATATTGGGGTTCGGGTTTGTATTAGAGGTGTGACTTATATATAATAAAATATTTTATGTCACGTGGCAATTAACGTGACATTTTCTGTCTAACTTTGAATATAATTTAACTTTAGTAGTAAATTGAGAAAAGCTTAAAACATGAATGGTCAAAGTGGAAAAAAAAAAATTAAGTGCCAAAATGGAAAAACTGACCAAACACAAAGGGAGCAAAGTGTAATTTATCCATTTATCTTATATACATTGATTATGGGGTTTCTTATACTTTACCCCTCAACTATCACATTGCCTTCTCAACCCTCAACTTTAAAACCATACATTTTGACTCTTTAACTATAAACACTTTTATCCACTTAGAAAATGATATTTGTATGGTTTTTATTTGTTTATTTATTTTTATAGTTAAGGGTCTAAATATGTGGTTTTAAAGTTGATATTTAGGCCTCGTTTGGGAACATACTACTTTAGTAACTTTTTGGCTATTTGACTAAAATGTGAGTTAAAAAAAACTAGTATATTTGAGATGACTTTTTTACTTTTTATGAAAAGATGTGCAAAAAGTAGAGAGAAAAGAGAATCTTTGAATTTTTGGTATGGGTTGTTGGCTTTTGAATTTTTTAGTAACTTTTTGACTTTTTAGCTAAACCGGCCTGTTGCCAAACGAGGCCTTAGTAATAGTTGAAGAGATAAAGTGATTCAATAATAGCGGAGGGGGAAAAAGTGTAATTAACCCTTGATTATTTGCTGAAATTAGATTAAATTGTTGATTATATGTTGAAATTGATATGTAGTTATCGATTATTTTCTAAAAAGAATCTTTTTTGGGATAACTTCATAGAAATTGAGTTGTGATTGAGGGACTATGGGATCAGATTGGGTCGAAATAACTATTTAAAAAATTGGTAAAAAATTGTGTTGTAATTTATTATATAATGAAATTGATATGGACTCCTATCCATATCCGATATGTTGATTGGAATGGAATGGAGGAAACGTAGGGGGTACACCAATTTTGCTGCCCATAGGATGAATTTCTGGTTCCGTCCTGGGTTGTTATTCACTTGATGATTGCCATATAGCATGTTACCACCACGTCTTTTTTCTTTGACTGCATCTTTTAAACTGGCTGTAACATCTTGATTTTGTTGGAGCATTAACAATGCAAACATTGCCAAGAGTGAAATATCTATATAATGTCTTGTTATTTGGTTTAAAAAACTGAATCGCTTGTCTATGGAATGGACTGCATAATTCTTAAAATTTCTTGATATTGTAGTGACAACCATGGCAACCCACTTTGAACAACTTGTTGCTATCTTTTAGATAAAACATAATTACATTAATTTTATCTCAGTGAGCTAGAAAGAAAAAATCGTTCGGGTGTCTTTCATGCAGGATCAATAAGACATAGCTAGGGAAATTTAATGCCAAAACTACTAGTTACTTTTGATTATCATAGACTACAAGTTTGAAGAATTTCAAGTATTGGCTGAGTTTATGTTACAACTTTGTACTTTACCTTCCAGCTACAAATACTCTTTTAGTGAGCTGCACGGGGCATCAAAATTTCATTGATCATTTGGACTCAATAGTATCTAATAAGGTATGAGATGTGAAGATTATTGTATTTTGTATTAGTTATTTAGGGTAGTTTAGTCTATTAGATTATTAGGGTTTATTTCATTTAGGTTATATATATTGTACTCAATGATTATTCAATAATATATACAAAATAGATGTTCTTTGTTATCATGGTATCAGAGCTAGGTCACAACAGCAGACTTAGCACGTAGATGTAGCCTTCTCCCTTTGCATACGTCCTTCGCAGGTGTTCTCTTCTCCCATACGACTTGCGAATCATTCTGAAGCATCTGTTCTAGGCATCGCAACTGGTCTCCTCCCACATACGACCTACGAATCCTTCTAGAACATCTATTCTAGGCATCGCAGCTTTTGTTCCAGGCATATCGACTCTTGCAGTTGTTTTTTCTCCAGACTTCGCAACCTTTGGGTGAGTGGTTCCAGCCCAGCGCAACCTGCAGCTCTTACGAAAGTCCTTTTCAGCCACTTTCGACTCATCTGGATCAGTCGAGTTGATATGGGTAGCAGTCGAACCTCTGTTTTTTTGCCTTCTCGCTGGTTTGATCAACTCTCTAGAAGCCCTTGAGTCAACGTCTTCTTCACTGTGATCGTCTGGCTTCTAGTGACCAGACTGCCCTGTCTCACGCCTACTTCTGTATCTGTGTCTGGTACTATTTTTTATTTGCACTGGGTTGTTTGATTATAGCAATATGGCTGATGATAAATTGCAAGCCATCACAACTAAGTTGGATGGCACAAATTATTCTTATTGATCTCATGTAATGAAAAATTTTATCATGGGTAAAGGTATGTGGAATTATGTTATTGGTGTAACTACTCGACCATTAGAATCCAAAGAAACTGAAGCTGATGTTGCTAAATGGGATAAGGAAAATGCACAAATTCTTACTTGGTTTCATAATTCAGTTCAAACCACCATTGGTATGAATTTCTCCAAGTATTTTACTTCTAAACAAGTTTGGGACTATTTGAAAACTATGTACCTTGAGTCTAACTTTGCCAAACAGTATGAACTTGAGATGTCCATTCGCAGTGCTAGTCAGAAAGATAAGTCCATTCAGGAATTTTATAATGAGATGACTACTTATTGGGATCAGCTTGCTCTAATGGAGCCATCAGACTTGCAGTTACTTGACAGTTATACCAAGTATCGGGAGAAGCAACGTCTTGTTCAGTTTCTTATGGCCCTTCGTGATCAGTTTGAGCCACTTCGGGGCGCTATTCTTCATCGGTCCCCCTTGTCTTCTGTTGATGGTGCTGTCCGTGAGCTTATTGCAGAAGAAACTCGCTTTAAGGTGGCTCATGGTACTCCTCATTCCCAATCAGTGTTTGCCACTCCTCCGCTCTTGCCAACCCCACCATCTTCTTTATTTCAAGTTACTGGTAAGCCCAAGCCTCGGGTTTCTATGGATGAGTGCAGCTTCTGTCATCAGAAAGGTCATTGGAAACATGCTTGTCCTAAGCTGGTGCAGCCCAAAGGCCGTTCACCTGGTCCACCATCCTCTAAGCCGACATCTTCGGGATCTCGCTCATCTGCCGCCTTTTCTGCATCAGTTTTTGAGAATGGTCTATCTTCCAATATGCAGTCTATGTTTGAGCAGTTCAAGTCTTTCATGGTGGCCAATCCAACTCTTTCATCCCAGGCTTCCGCTATGACTACCACTCAATTAGGTTTGTCTGGTTCATCATCCTCAGGTAATATCCACACTTCGTGGATCTTTGATTCTGGTTGTTCACATCATATGACCCCTGTTGCATCTCTCCTTAGTAATTGTGTCTCCCCTCCTTCTCCTATCACTATTGCTACTGCTAATGGTTCATCTATGCCTGTCTCCTCTATTGGTTCTATTTTCTCTTCCCATTTGTCTCTTTCTCCTGTATTTTATGTACCTCACCTCTCACTTAGTCTTATTTCTATTAGTCAATTATCTGATTCCAGGTTTGATGTTGTTTTCTCTTCCTCTCATTGTGTTGTGCAGGATCGGGTCTCCAAGAGGCAGATTGGGATCAGGCGTAGAGTTGGAGAACTATATATCTTGGACAGCTTACATGTTCCTTTAGATGTGTCTTCTACTGCATTGTCTTCTTTTTGTTTAAACAATAAGTCCTCTCATTTTATATTTGGCATTCTAGGTTAGGTCATTTGTCGAGTGATCGTTTGAGGATGTTAGTTCAGTCTGGACATTTAGGCCATTTTCCCATTGCTGATATTTCAGAGTGGTCGTGGTTGTAAACTGGCTAAAATGTCTGCTCTTCCATTTAATAAAAGTAGTTCTATTTCATCTTCTCCTTTTCAATTGGTTCATACTGATGTTTGGGTCCTTCCCCTATAGTTACTAAGGGAGGTTCGCAATATTATGTATCTTTTGTGGATGATTACAGTCGGTTTACATGGGTTTATTTGATGGCACGAAAATCTGATTTTTACAAAATATATTCCCATTTTCACTCCATGATTTGCACTCAATTTTCCACCACCATTAAAGTTCTTCGTTCTGATTTGGGGGGTGAGTATTACTTGTCTGAGTTTGAGGAGTTTTTAGCTACTCATGGTACTATTCATCAGTCTTCTTGTTCAGACACTCCTGCCCAAAATGGTCGTGCTGAGCGCAAACATCGTCATCTCCTTGATACAGCTCGTTCTTTGCTACTCTCATCCTTTGTCCCTTCTGTCTTTTGGGAGAAAGCTGTGCTCACTGCTGCATATCTTTCAATCGGATGCCTACTCCTCTTCTCTCCGGCTCCTCCCGTATGAGCGTCTTCTTGGTGTTACTCCCAATTATTCTCTTCTTCGTGTTTTCGGTTCTACATGCTTTGTGCTCCTTCCTAAACGGGCGCGCTCTAAGCTTAGTCCTCGTTGTGTCCTATGTGTCTTTTTAGGGTATGCATTAATCAGAAAGGTTATCGGTGCTATGATCCTGCCACCAAAAAGCTTTATGTGTCTAGGCATGTCACTTTTTTGGAAAAACTACCCTACTACACTATACCTTCCACCCCTGTCCCTATTACCAAGGAGGAATTGGTTCACATTGATCCATTTCCTTCTGATGTTTCTTCTGATGAGTTTGTCTCTGATCTTGAGATCTCTACCTTGCCTCCTTCTAGTACCTCTAATATCTCGGCAGCTCCTCCCTCTCCAGCTCCCACTTCCCCTGCTCCTCTTCTTGTTTATCAGCGTCGCCAAGCACTTCCGCGTTCGCCTGTCTCTAGCTCTACTGTCCCTCCAGCTGTTTCTTTGGATCCCGCTCCTCCTGCCCGTCGTTTTCCCACGCGTGATCGTCGTGCTCCGAACTGGTATGGTTTTGGTAATACATGTTTTTCCCTTTCATATCAGTCTTTTCTTTCTTGTCTTCATACTTATTTTGAGCCTAGGTCCTACAAGGAAGCTTGTCATGATCCCAATTGGATTGCTGCCATGAATGACGAGTTAACTGCTTTAGCTAATACTCAGACTTGGGATTTGGTTCCATTACCTGCTGGCAAGAATGTTGTAGGCTGTAGATGGGTCTATAAGGTCAAAACCCTTTCTGATGGTTCTTTGGAACGATACAAGGCTCGTTTGGTTGCCCAGGGCTTTTCTCAGGAGTATGGGATTGATTACGATGAGACTTTTGCCCCCGTTGCCAAAATGACTACTGTTCGCACTCTTATCTCTGTTGCTGCTGCCCATCACTGGTCTTTGTTTCAACTTGATGTCAAAAATGCCTTTCTGAATGGGCATCTTGCAGAGGAAGTATATATGCGCCCTCCACCGGGTCTCTCACACCCTCCTGGTGTGGTTTGTCGTCTTCGCCGTGCTCTCTATGGTCTTAAGCAGTCTCCTCGTGCTTGGTATGAACGATTTCACTATGTTGCACTTCAGCTTGGGTTTTGCCCTAGTCATCATGATTGTGCTCTATTTGTTCGGCGTACTTCTGTTGGCCTTGTTCTTCTTCTCTTATATGTGGATGATATGATCATCACAGGCTCTGATTGTAATACTATTGAGGAGGTTAAGCATCAGTTGTTTTAGGAGTTCGAGATGAAAGATTTGGGGTCTCTTCGATATTTTCTTGGTATTGAGGTTGCTACTTCTCCTACTGGGTATCTTCTTTCTCAGACTAAATATGCTCGTGATATTCTTTCTCGTGCCAATCTCACTGATGATAAGTTTGTCGACACTCCTCTTGAGTTGCATGCTAAGTTTTCTGCTTCTGATGGCGTTCCTCTTGAGGATTCCACTTTGTATCGTGAGTTGGTTGGGTGCCTTGTTTATCTCACCGTTACTCGTCCGGATATCTCCTATGCTGTGCACATTCTCAGTCAGTTTGTTTCTGCTCCTCGCTCCACCCACTGGGCTGCCTTACTCCGTACTCTGCGCTACCTTCAGGGCACTTTGTTGCAATGTCTGCTGTTATCCGCCTCTTCGGACTTGACTCTCCGTGCCTATGCTGACGCTGATTGGGCCGGTGACATCTCTGATCGCAAATCCACTTCTGGTCTTTGTGTTTTCCTTGGTGATTCTCTCATATCTTGGAAAAGTAAGAAACAGTCTGTTGTAGCTCGTTCTACTGCTGAGGCTGAGTATCGCGCCATGGCTCATGCTACTTCCGAGATAGTCTGGCTTCGCTGGCTTCTCTCTGATATGGGCATCTCTCTTTCTGATCCGACTACGTTATATTGTGATAATCAGAGTGCTGTTCAGATTGCTCATAATTCAGTCTTCCATGAGCGGACCAAGCATATTGAAATCGATTGTCACTTTGTCTGACAGCATCTTCAGGCTGGCACTATTTCTCTTCCTTTTGTTCCGTCCTCTCTTCAGTTGGCCGATTTTTTTACAAAGACTCATACTGTTGCTCGTTTTCGTTTTCTTCTTAGCAAACTTTCGATGCTTTCTGCGCTCGCATCCTCAGTTTGAGGGGGGGTGTGAAGATTATTGTATTTTCTATTAGTTATTTAGGGTAGTTTAGTCTATTAGATTATTAGGGTTTATTTCATTTAGGTTATATATATTGTACTCAATGATTATTCAATAATATATACAAAATAGATGTTCTTTGTTATCATGAGAATCCCACTGGCATTTACGCTCCGTTTGTTTCGGCGAAAAATATTTTCTTGAAAATGGTTTTTGCATTTTCCGGTGTTTGACACGATGGAAAGCAAAAGTCAACCATTTTCCATAATCAATGGAAACAAGCCTATTTGGGCCAAAAACATTTTTCACTTCTAAAAGGCGAAAAATGTTTTCCTAACTGAACTTTCACCGATGCCACCACGTTGTTGCCACCCCTCCACCGCCACCACCTCCACCCTATCAGTACCACCACCACCACCACTACCATCACTGCCATGACCATTGCAACACCTCCACCTTCACCACCACCACCTCCTCCTCCATCCCGTCGCCGCCACTACTACCACCACTAATGCAATTTTAGTGCATTAGTTTTAAGAACACCACCAAACATATAAGGAAGCGTTTTCTATGAAAAATATTTTTTAGAAAAAAGTTTTCAGTAGAAAATGTTTTGCATTGAAAATTATTTTCTGCCAAAACAAATGGAGCGTAACTAATTCCTATAGATGCTAAACAGTGTAAGGTAAGCAAAATATAAGCAGAAGACTCAAATATGCAATACTAACCTCAAATGCCAATGCTAAATAAGGAAAATTATCTTGTTTATAACGAAGTATCACAGAAATATTAACTCAAAAAAAAAGTGTCACAGATATTTCAAAATTAATTACTTTTAATTGTATTTTGTTTCTTGTCATAGTACAAATACACAACTATATATGTATCTACCTGCATATATACATAAACTCAAATGTGCGAAGCTAAATACAATCTCCACAATTGATTTTTTAAGTAACCATTGGAACATAATATGTTTTAACTTATATCTCTGATGAAGGTTTACATGAGTCACAGTGCAGCTCAATGACGAGTATAGTAATTTCAAATTTAATGGAAGTAAAGCATAATACATTATCTTCGGATATCTCCCCAAGTGTGGACCCTTAACCCTTGCTTCCTCTCCTAGCATCTTCACCATTGATGCCTTTTGCAAATAACAGTGTGCCAAAATTATCAGGTATATCACAATGCCCCGTCAAACTGTGAGTTATTGCACTGGTTCATAGATTAGTTCAGGAGACACTGCATGCCAAAGTACAGAATTTGGGCGAGGAGAAACAAAATGGAATCTGGGAAGATTCCCAGTTGTGATTTAAAAAACCCTCTCTTGAAAATATACTTCAAATTGGGCATTAAAGTTTTTCTGTAATTGGGAATTTAAAGTTTTTCTGTTTTTATGCCCAACTTATCCTCCTTCAATCCATTGGGCGCATGTTTGGGCATCGTTCTTGTGTATTACTTGGTTGCACAATGAATAATTATGGAGTGATAAGTGAACTTGTGTAAAATGATCAAATTGTCCTTCACTACTAAAGTACAAAATCTGCTTAGTAAATGTCTGCTATTGGAACACTTCACTGTTAAACATTTTCCTTTAGCTGAAACTGATGTATGTAGTAAGCAGTTTGATGCTGCATTTATTTTTCAGGACTCTGCACATTAAAATATTCATTTGCTGAAAGTGTTTCGAGCATAACTACGACTAATTGCTGGGCTTCATTTGCTCCGTACCTGGCCAATGTGTATGTTTCCCAAAAATTTGTTGCCGCCCCATTAATTCTTATAGGGCTGTTGAGCAAATATTCTGAAAGCTTGCTTTAAATGCAGCTCATGCCAAGTACTGCCTGTTAGTTGTTGAGCAGATCCTGCAGGCTCAATTAGTCCATCAAACCTCAACTAATGGATTCTCCTATACTTCCAGTTGCTTGTGGAAAAATTGACGAGGTCAACGAGCGTTGCAACCAAGTTTTCCAGAATGCTATATCAGATGCTGCAAGTGAAATTGCTTTGAAGGATTATGGTAATTCAGGTTTGCATGGGCCTCATGTCTTGTCTGAACAGTTCACCATGATTGATGATTGTAAAAGTATTGTCTTTCAGTGGCTGGCTGGTAAGGTTGATCCTTCTATGAATAGTGTGCTTAGAGGACTTTCTAGTGGCAGTGTAAATAAAGTTATGCATTTGCAGATGAAAAGAAGAAAAGAAAAGAGAATTTCATAGAGTTCTATTTTGTTTTAGTTGGGAAGGCTA